GGAAAGAGGAAGGACCCAAGGTTGAAGGGAGGCCAGGCTGCCCTGGAGAGGCAGGTACTGCTTGAGTGTGCAGGGATGGAGCTGGGACAGCTGAAGCTCAGCTGGAGAAGTGTGTGAAGGACAAAAGGAAGAGCTTCGACAGCAGCGGGAATACCTCACAAAAACGCAGGCCTGTCCTTAATGGAGCAGAGGGCTCGGTGGCAAAGGACATGGTACTTGGGACTGCTCTTGCCTTGACTTTTTTATGGCTGGTGAGGTCTCTCTTCAGACTTCCCAGGGCCCCAGCCTAATGGGGAAACATTCCTAGTCTGAGGGGAACCATCTGAAGGTGCTGAAGAAGCCAGCTGTGTCATCACGCTCTCGTCTTTGAAGAGTCCCGATGATCTGGAGGGGTTCATGGCACTGGAAGAAGGCAAATGTCCCACCTGTCTTCAGGCAGGGCGAGAAGGAAGATCTGGGGAACTACCCCGTGGCATTGTCCAAGGAGGTGGCTGGCTGTGTGGCCAAGGGGACACCATAAATGTTTGTCTAGACTTAAAGCTGAAGGTCTGTTGTAGCCTCCTTTATAGCAGAATGAAAGATGTGGGGGCTGGAGAAGAGGAAGGTTGGCTGGGCCCCCATGGTCAGCAGCACGACATCTAACTGAAGCTGGTTGGTTGTGTTCCTCAGCAATCGCTTGTAGGTCCCACCTGGTCCTCGCATCGGTGCAAGAAAGCCCCAGGACAGCTCCCACTGCATCACAGCGTGGATGGGGATAGGCCCTGGGAGACTGGTGTGACCACCCTGGAGGAGAGAAAGCAAGGGGAGACCTTACTGCTGTCTGCAAACAGCTGATGAGAGAGCGCGGAGAAGAATGAGCCAAACTCTTTTAGGAGGTGTCACAGTGAGAGGGCAAGAAGTGGTGGAGACAGACTAGAGCAGAGCAAACTCCAGCTCCAGTTAAGGAAAAACTTTCTCGGCGTAAATGTGGTCAAGCAGTGGAAAAGATGCCCAGAAAGGCTGTGGGGTCTCCATCCTTGGAGATGTCCCAATCTCAGCTGGGCCTGGCCCCGAGCCACCCAACTGTCTAGAGCGGAGGGTTGGACTTGGAGGCAACCACCGTCCAAGACCACTAAAGGAGCTTCAGTGGTCAAGAGCCCCAGGGAGAAGCTGTTGCTGTGAGAGCACAGGGGACACAGTCACGGGGACTGACGTGGCACAGGAGCTTCTGGGCTGGGAGGGCAGGAAAGAATGAAGTTGCTGTTCTGGAGCTCCTGTGATTACCCCCAGACCATGGTAAGTGCTTTAACTCCCCAGGAGTGATCTAGGGATGGAGAGGAGCACCAGGACCTCTTTCTGTGAAGGTGCTGCTACTCTAGGATCGAGATACCTTGTTCTGCCTCGCTTCCTGGGGTGGATGTTCTGCTGAAGTGATGCTCAGCGTGTGGAATCTGGTATTTTGGGG